TCCCCTATGCATATCCTGATCACCCATTAAGGGTGATTGCCTTTCACCATTGATCGCCCATTAAGGGTGATTGCCCTTCACCATTGATCGCCCATTAAGGGTGATTGCCCTTCTCCATCTGCATACAGTTTCATGCCCGTTGCTGGTTGGCTAACTAGCAACAGGGTCTTGCCAGCCAATGGAATTGTGTGATTACAAGTCAGGGGAATCCCATAAAAGAGGGCTCCCCTGGCCCAGAGAGCGCAGTCCGGATTACTTTATGCCTTGCCAATAAACCAAGAGCTGACTGTCACTCGACTCGTGTCTTACTGCCTGCGCGATCTAACATTTATGGTCCATGGTGATTTGCTTAATGATGGCAACTGGGATTGTTGAACTGCAGTCACTACTAAGTGACACGGTCACATGACATCATGTTTTACAACTGTGTCACTTAGCAACAGCAAGTCCCAATTGCCATCATAACCCAAGGACTGCCTGTAATTTGTCTATTGTTGTATTGATTATTTTTCTCTTTGTTCTGTTTTATTAAATAAGGCCACCCATCCTGCCACCTACTCACCCTGCAGCCCAATATTGTTGGAATTCTTTCTTGAAAGTTGACGGATGACCCCTTCACAAAATTGAATGTATTTTTAAGAGGGTTTTTTTAAAAAAATAAAATCCATCACAAACCTAGGAAGAAAGGACCTGGCAAGGCCCTGCTCATTTTGCATTATGTCTCAGCCTTTCCCTCCCAATTGTTAGGTGTAGCTACTCAACTCAACTTTGCCCAACTCTGATATATGTCACAGTGCCAACTACCAAGCCAGAATTTGGTTTAAGCCAACTGGTGAGTTCAGAGCCATTGGGTGGGGCAGGGCAATGGCTGAGACACTATGATTTAGCTTTTGATAAAGTGGGTAGAATAATAGTATTTAGTTAAAGCAACAGAACTAAATAAATATAATCTAGTGAATTTTTACCTTAGGTTTCTTGCTAGAGCACATGGTGGCTTACTTAGGTGACGGAGCTGATTTGGGGGAACGGAAGAACTGAGTGAGCCATTAAGGGGTGGTCTTGCAGAAAAGCTCACACAGTCCTGAAAAAAAGAACTTCCAAACCATCCCATCTTCATTTTGTTTAAGATGGAGCAAAAAGAAACTTGGATAGGCTTTTCATACTCTGCTAGTCTATCGTCTGTCCATGCTCTGCTACTCTACCGTCTGCAATGAAGAACAAAGGTGGAAACCCCGCCATGCCTTTTTCTTGATCTTGTCAGAATAAGAGACTTTGAAGAGAACTTGGAGGTGCTGCTGCTCAATAAGGGAACCCAACAAATGGCTGTCCAGTCTCTTCTTAAAAACCTCAAGTATTGGAGCACCCAAAACTTCTGGGGGCAAGTTGTTCCACTGATTAATTGTTCTAACTGTCAACCTACCTCAAAAGGACTGCGCGATCTCCCTCCATTTTAAAACTACAGCTACATGTGGGATGGGAGAGTGAGTGACTGTCTGACAGTCATCTAGTGATTGTGACACGGGATCTGAGCCTGTGTCTTCCTGCTCCTAGTCCCACACCTTCACCACCCCTCCAGAATTTTCTTGCACACTCCAAGGCCACAGACTTCAAGGGACACGAGCCAATTAAGGGAAACCATGTGCTAAATAAACAATAAGGGAAGAGAAAATGTGGTGCTCTCAATCTCAGTGTAAGGGAAATGGAGAAAAGGTGGGAGCTGAAACTGATATTTTACCAGTGAGTCTCCCCAAGTTTGGATCTCAAAAACAGATCCTACCTTCCATCAGAATACAATGAACCAGCCTCTTTGTTCAGACTTTCAAAAACATGCCTCTTCAAGCTGAGAAAACAGAATCTTGTCTTACTCACTGTGCCCTGGGGAAAGCTGGCAACCCTTCAAAGCCATATCTAGCTCTGCTAACTTCTTTCCTCTTCCCTGATGGCAAGCGTGTTTTTCTCAGGATTGACGCAAAAGATTTTTTAATGTGGCTGTGTAGGGCGTGTGCTTCACCCAAGCTTACTTCTGTTGGAGCATCTGAATAGTATATAATCACATGAGTATAGCAGGCTGACTTGAAACTGGTTGGACATAATGAGGCCACAGCAGAAGCACCGAAGTTATGAAGTGACCCTTTGCTCTGACACCTGCTCTTGCTAATTCACTAGATATGGATATCAGAGCAAGTAGTAAGTCTTCAGAGTCCCCGGGTTTTGTTTTTTATTTGTTTGTTTTTGAACAAAGTAGACAGCCATGCAAGAACTACCATGGGATTAGTAAAATATTCATGTGGATAATTCAATTCAGAATACAAAAAACAAGAGAACCAGTGACCAGTGACCTGCTGGCTGGGGAATTCTCGGAGTTGAAGTCCAGACATCTCAACATTGGCAAGGTTGAGAAAGGTTGGATTGATGTATTGCACAATATATAGTGTGAATGCCACCTAGCCATTAACATGATGGAGAAGACTGCTGATGGATGGCCCATATATCTGTTTAATCTGTTAGTGGAATGATGGGTGAATTCCAGGTCCGTGCTTCATAATTCTTTCCCTCTCACCTGAATTTACTCTAGGCAGCACTTCAGATAGAGGAGACCTTGTGGCAAAGGATTGCTTGCAGACATTCTGTTAAACAGAGGCCTGTCCTCTGCAAAGAAGGACGCAGGAAACTGCCTACACAAATCTTTAACAAACCTGAGATCTCAATGGTGCTTTTTCCAAAGGGAACTGGACTGTTTTTTCCCTTGAGTCCAGTTGCCTTTTGACAAAAACACCTTTGAAACAACTATGGCCTGGGTGACTGAGCATCCAGAATTAACACTGTTGAACAGCCCCCGAGAATGGCAAACTGCAGTGGGCCCTTTTTTTGCAAGCTTTTTAAAATGTCCTTGTAGATCAAGGAGGGGGGAATCTATCTGTCAAGAAGAACAAGCAATGTAATAGTTGCCATGATGGTCAAAGGGAAGGCATGGTTTGGCCTGGATTTTCTATATTTTCCCAGGTTTTGAAAAGGAACCTTGTGATTTGACTTTTTCAAAAGCCATTTTAGTCTGTCTATTATTATTTTTTTGGAAGAAAACTAAAATTCAATCATTTTAGTTAAAATTGCTGAACAGCAATTCTATTCAAGAATAGTAGGATGAAAGCAAATTTGTGGTGGCGTTTGAGCTTAAAGGTGGTCTACTTTTGGCATTAATTGATTTGCTTTTCTTGGTTTGTGAGAGCTGTGCCTTGCCTTCTATTTTAGAATAATATTATGGACTGGCTAAGAGAATAGATAATTGTGTGGGGCATCGTGACATGAGCGTGAGCCTTAATATGAATTGAATATAGATGTCTTCAAGTATGGTCAAAAAATAAAGATGGTATCAATGAAGGAATAATCGAATCTCTGCCGATTTTTAGGCATGACATCATCTTGATTTTTTTTTTTTTACTGTACTCTGGATGTCCTTTTCTGGATATCAAATCTTGACAGAACACATCCAAAAGACAAAAAAGGGTAGAAATAAATGTGCATTTTATTATCAACTCAAAAGTAGAAACCTCATTTTACAGGTGAGCAAGTAGCGTAATTTCATACGGAAGGAAATTCCACATTTAAAAAGAAAAATTACGCACTTCTATCAAAGTGGCCTGTAGCAAACTCAAATAAATAGTGAGCTGATTTATGATAAGAAAAAGTACAGACAGGAAAGCAGACGAAAATAATTACAATCCACTTGTTAAATCGGTAGCTGAAACAGGAGATGTCATCCACTTCTCCAGGTATAATCCACTAAGCAGTCTCTGGTTTATAAAAAAATAAGCATGTTTTTGCTGCAGAATTATATTCTGAAATCTTATAAAGTACTCCTTTTAGGAAGAATCAAGCGTATAAATATATATATTAGAACCTACTGCAATAAAGAAATGGCTGCCACGTTGTACTCATTTCAGCAGAGTTTATGCAAAAATTCCTGAGGCTCAACACATGTTTGTGTTTGTTTTATTAATAAGAATGCCTCCTTTTGTTAATTCAGTAAGATGTGCAAGCAGGCAAATCTCACTGCAAACAGAGCATGTGAGGATAGGATTCTCATCCTTTCCCTTTTGAGCAATAGGCTCAATGAAAATCGTTCTAATTCCCCATTGATATATAGAAAAGAAAAAACAGCTTGTATTAGTGGCAGTCCATAAACCAACCCAAAATGAAGAAAGACGCGGAGCCCATTTTTTGGGGGAAAAAATAAGTAGATAAGAGTTCCCTCACTTCCAAATGTGGAGTTTGTCATCCTGGAGATGATAAATGATTATCTTGTGAAACAAAGGACCTCAGATGGCAACTGGAAGGTAAATGTTGAGGTTTAAGTAGAAGGCTTTCTAGAATCAGGTCCTTATGATCTGTTTGGATTGATCTGTTTAACCACCTTATTCTGATTCAGATGGCTCTTCCTTAGGCATCTTCAAATTGGATGGAGAGTTGCTTGGGAGAGGGTTCAAGAGGTCAGGTGTCTTAGTAGTAGCTTCTCCAGAGCTATTGCTGTCTATTAAGGAGGCCATTAAACAATGCTGGTATTGCTCCCTTGTGATCTGGATTAGGAAGAGAAAGCAACTATTCAAGAACTTACCACCAGCAATCAAGGGCATGGGATAATTTGGGGAAATGATGCTCCAGCTATTTTGTGGAGGAACCAGCCAGAAATGTATTAAGCAGGCCAGAAACCAGAAAGGACAATGGACCAAGCAGAAACCAAGGAGATTGACTGGGTTGGCTTAGCATGCAAAGCCTAATTAGTTTAGCTATGGTTTGTAGAATAAAGATTTAGCTGGAGTCACAAATCAGATGAAGCCCAAACTAAATAAATAACGTTATGCTTCGTGTGATATGAGTGTAACCACCAAGCCACATATAGGCTGGAAAGGTGGACTGGATGACAAGCTGCCATATCAAACTGGGCAAATAGATTGTGCCAGATCTCTAGAGTTATGAAGCTTGTACACAAATGGAGGGCATCAGGTTGAGGAACGTTTCCTTGTAGGAATGTGCTAGAACTGAAGATTCAGCCTTCATACAAATCTGCCACCATAATATTTTGTCTGTCCCTAAAGAAGGGAGGAAACCATTAAATCAACTGAATGTTAATTAAGTTCTTTAGAATTTGATAGGCAAATCTGTGGAAGCAGAAATGAGGAATCAATGGTTCTCCAGATGTTTCTGTTGGTGCAGTTGAGTAACATCTGCAAGATCATGGGTTCTCTTAATCTGATCTATAATTACTGGGTTATTGACAGCTTAGAATAGATTTATGACTCTCACAGAAGTCCCTCACTGGCTCACTTTGATGTACAGGAGGTCACTGAGGGCTCGGACAGTGAAATCAGCCATATATTGCAGGCTGGTGCTGGGGAGGACCTGGTTGGTGCTGAGGCTTCTGAGGAAGGCAGAATTCATTTGTTCAAAGCTGATCCGGTTGATGCTGCTGAAGAAAGACAGGGAGCTGCTCTCAAGCCCTAGACATTGTGGACAAGGAGACAAAAATTGTAGCCTGTGGTTCGATCCTCTCTCCAACCTGTTCATCGCTGTATTCTCCTATCCATCTCTCCAGGCTCGGCCTTTTCAACTGGGGCATTTTTAGTGGACTAAAGTATGGTTTATTTAAGCTTCCTTTGCTGAAGAATCTACAGGGCCATAGTCCCATTCACCAGGTTTATAAACTATAATGACTGGATTTACACAACATGTTAAAAAAAAAAAAAAGACCAGCCATTTTGGAACCGAAAAGGATGGTGGATGCAGCCACTGACTAGCTGGGCTCCTCATGGTTTCAGGAAGAACTTTTCCAGCTCTGCCATGGACAAACACTCTTGAATCACCCGAGGCCACAGAAAGTCGCTTTGAAATGATATGGGCAGTAAATAAAGTTTAATAATTAAATAAATTGCACGGGCTGCCCCTGTATTTTTGAGCAAATGCAGGGCAGTCAGATTTTCTAGCTACCGCAAGTTCTCCTTTTCCCCTCAGCTATTTTTCAAGGAGGCTTTCATGAAGAAGACAAAGTAAAACACACAAGACTCTGGTTTTTACTTTGGTTGCTAAAACTCAGTTACAAACCCAGAGGCTGCATTTGCACAGCAGATTTGACTTTTAAGCTCATAGTTGTTTTTGCAAGATGGGCAACCACGCCAATTGATTCAGACTGACAAGATACTAACTTGTTTAATGTTCATATGGTTAATTTTGGAGGGGCTTATCAGGCTGTATAAATCCAGCCTGAATCTTTTGATGATGATGATACAATGCATCATGCAAACATATGAATATCACTAGCATTAAGAGGGTTGTGTGAACGCAGCCTTTGCCTAGCTCTCTTCCAGAAAAGATTGGACAGCCATTTGTCTGAGATGAATAGTCCAACCTCCTGTCTTGGGCAGGAGGTTGGACTAGAAAACCTCCAAGGTCCCTTCCAGCCCTATGACGTTATTCCCTGAGCACCTTTGTAAAGGCAGAGAAGAATTAATGTGTGAACTATACTACAATTCAAACCACCAGAGGGCGCTAAATAGCACCTGATTTATTAGTGTCCTCCATCAGTCAGCAAAGAATCTTAATCAGTGTCAAAAGTACAATTTGCAATTAGATTCTTCGGCCAAGGGGAGCAATTAAACTTTATAACTTGGACGAAGCTTCAAATCTCATGCTAGAGCTAGAGAGATTTAAAAAAAAAAAAAAAAAAAAAGACAGATTCAGCTTGTGGCTGGGGAATTCTGGGAGTTGAAGTCCACAAGCCTTAAAGTTGCCAAGGTTGGACACATCTGCATTAGGCAAAGCACACATTTGAGCAGAGAGCACAAATTGGCAAATTACCTGTTGGGATGGATGGCCCTAGAGCCATGACCCCATAGTAGGAGAAGGGTCCATTCTCAAACTTCATGTTTTCCTTACACGCTTCTACCTCCACCTTCCCCTGGAACAGAGAAAAGATTACAGTTGGAAAACTCTTATTTTGGCAGACAAGATATGAACTGGGCTGTAGCTGAAATCTCACAGCATCTTAGCTGAACCGTGCAGGTGGGGCTCCTGGGCCACCCACAGTGTATGAGTGGAAAAGGCCCATTCATGGGCCTGAAGGGAGAAGAGAAGACTGCATCGTACCTGCAAGATGAGGATGAAATAGTCTGCCATCTTATTCCTTTGGTACAAGTAATGGTGGGGGGAGTCCTTGAAGTTCTCGTCAAATTTCAGCTCACAAATGACATCCCGGTGCTTCAGCAGACGCAGCAGGTATTTTTCAGAGATGAGGGTGGGGAAAAATTGCAAGATCTCTGCATGATGGGGAAAGGGCACAGGGATGAGTGTTCCCAAGGACATTTTTTTCCCCCAAAACTAAAGTCACGGTAGATAAATATTCCCCCAAAGCTGTAATACACAGTAACAGAGTTGGAAGGGACCTTGGAGGTCACCTAATCCAACCCCCTGCTCCTGCAGGAGACTTATACTATTTCTGAAAGATGTCTATCCAGTCTCTTCTTAAAAGCCTCCAGTGTTGGAATAAAACACTTTATTTCAGCTGCTGAAATAAAAGTCTACCTGCCAAACTCAGATACAGGATGTTCCTCAATTTACAGCCACAACTGGGATTGGAATTCTTGTTGCCAAGGAAGATGGTTGTTAACAGAGTCATGTCCTATTTTACCAGCTTGTTTGCCAGGGTGGTTAAGTGAATCACTGCAGTTATGAACTGAATCACATGATCCTTAAGCAAATCCACCTTCCCCTATTAACTTTGTCAGAAGCCCCTGAAAAAGGTCACAAATCATCTTGACATGACTTGTGCAATCATCATAAATACATGCTGGCTTGTGCAATCATCATAAATACATGCCAGTTGCCAAGCATCCAAATATTGATCCTGTGACTGTGGGGATGCTATGACAGTTTAAGTCAGACATGTCAAACACAAGACCCGCGGGCCGGATGCGGCCCGGGGAGGGCCCAGATTTGGCCCCCTGGGGCTGTCCCAGAAATGGCAAGGGACCGGCCCCTGCTGCCCCAGCCCTGGCCCACCGCAATGCAGGTGGGTGCCTTGGAGCACGTGCAGGAGCACGTGTGTGTGTGTGTGTGTGTGTGTGTGTGTGTGTNGTGGTCTCCCATCCTATAGCTGAGGATGCTTTGGTTACAAAGCCAGGTTTCCTCGCATGGAGAGGGAGTGGGCCTCCCTCTGACCCACGCACTTTGTCCTCCTGCACCCACCATGAGCAACCTGGCCAAGGAGAGTGAGCACAGCAGCAGCAGCATTGAGGAGGACATAAGTGCAGCTGGGCACCCCCTCGGGGAAGTGTGGCTAGGCTATGCAGGGCTGGGGGGCCCTGGTGCTGTGGGAGCTCAAGGGCCGAGCTGGGCACTTGACCTCCGCTGCCCAGGGCTCTGGCCAGTCCATGCCACTGTCCAGGGGGCCCGTGCACAGCCTGAGGCTCAGTGAGGCTCCTCCAGTGGACCATGCCCTGGCGCTCGCCCCGTCCCACCCACCCTTCCCCACCCTTGGATGCGCCTCATTCCTGCCCAGGCCCGCACAGGTGCCCCTGACGTGAGTGACATGGAGCTGGCCATGCCCACCCAGCCCTCTAATGGCAACCACGATGCTGATGCGGCCCTCGATGAAATTGAGTTTGACACCCCTGGTTTAAGTCCAACAACTGATCATGTCACTTTTTCAGTGCCATTGTAACTTAAAATGGTTGCTAAACAAATGATTGTAATTTGAGGACTACCTGTACAATACCAGGCATTGCCTCTGTTCCGTTTGTGCTGTTGCTTGGAACAGATCACTTATGCCAAGCAGGGCCAGCCCTGTCATGAGTTGCTGTTGCTGTGGCCGGTGGGCTCCTGTGTGATGGAATGTGCATCTGGAGAAGAAGCGGGGGTACTTTTGACAACCCAGAGCTTTCCCAGAGGGAGGCCCAGATTAAGAGACTGGGCCGTCCTGAGCTGGATGGGAGATGGGAGAAGAGATTCAGGGCAACCACACCCTAGAACAGAGGTGGACAATCAATTTTCCCAAAGGGCCACATGAGAAACGGGGGGTGTTATGGACCCACACATTACTGGGAAGGTGCATAGGCACCCACGCATGCAGATATATGTAAACTGGAAAAAGAATTACGGCCGCCTTCAAAATAAAGCAATGCAGTTGCATTGCATGCATGCATACACGGATTAACTTTTGATTTCTAATGTCCGAGTGATGTCACACAGGCCGGGAAAGGACAATCAAAGGGTTAGATGTGACCCGGGGGCTATAAAATGCCCTTGAGGTTCTGAGGATACATCAAGTAGGTAAGAAGGTTATATTCTGTCTGTTTGGGTGAAGCAAATAGAGCAGGGCTTTTCAACCAATGGTACGGGTACCACCTGTGGTACATTGGCACCTGGCAGGTGGTACGCGACCATCCTATAAAAGTGGTAGCGGGGGAAGGGAATGAGCTGAACCGGTGGCAGCACCGCACAAGCCTGAGCGAGAGATGGCTGGAGCTGCAGGGCTGTCAGGGCTCAGCGGAAGCACCAGGATCAGCGCTCCTTTGGGACTGTCAGGGCTCAGAGGAATGCCAGGATCAGCGCCAGGCTCCAGCTGGAGCTCGGTGCTGATCCTGGCGCTTCTGCTGAGCCCAGAAGAAGCGCCGATCAGCTGGAATGTTGCAGCATCTCCAGGGTCTTGTGATTTACATTCAACTGATTCATATTTATAACGGTCACAATGTCCCAGGGTCGTGTGAAGTGACCAAAACGTGCTGCAACCACCCAGCAGACGGGGTGGAATAAAAACCACACACACACACACACCCCACCGCTGCCAATCCTCAACAGAAATGCTCACAACAATGAAAACCTCGGACAGGAGGAAGAGCGCCGCCGGGAGGGCAGGCAGGTGTCTTGCTCGGCTGTGGCTTGGGGGGCACTTTTTTCAGTGCCATTGTAACTTCGAACAGTCACTAAGCAAACTGTTGTAAGTCAAGGACTACCTGTACTTCACTTTTTTTTTTTTGGTCATCAAGTTTTTGACCCCTTGCTAGGTGACTGGTGGTACTCGGATGTTGCCATATCCTAAAAGTGGTACAATGGGGTGAAAAGGTTGAAAAGCCCTGAAGTAGAGGATTGGACTCGATTGGGTTTGGTGTGTCGGCTTTGGGCTTGCACCTGACATGCTACCTGTGGAGAGGAAGCGATGGGCAGCCAAGAGCAGCTGCTTGGAGATCTTTGCTTCGACGTCATAATCCCTGAAAGCAGAGAAATCCCACTTCCTTAGTCCAGTGACTCTTCTTTTAGACCGATTGTCAACTGCAAAGGTAAAAGGCAAAGAAAAGGTCACCAACACATTCAGGCTGGACAGCCAAGGAGGTGTCAAAAGGTTGGCCTTGAAGTGGAGAGAACTGGATT